CACACATACACACACACACACACACACACGCAGCCCAGGGCTCCATCCCCTCCGGTATCTGCCCCATCCCCTTGCCTCCTCCCACCAGCCCTGGGCTCCTCCAGCCCTCCCACCCTCACCCAGTGATCTGGCTTCTCCTCTCCCTCCTCCCCCTCCTCCGTGCCCTCTGCTTCTGGTCCTCCACCCCTCCTCACTTCCCAACCTTCTCCCCGCAGCGCTCTCTAAGACAGAATAATGGGGACAGCCCTATTCCACCCACTCTGCTCCTCTGGGACCGCACCTACCTTCCCACAGACCCCACTAGACAGCGGTTCCCAACCTTCTGGCCACGCCCCACCTAAGCGTCTCTAAAATCCTGATGCCCCCACCCCATGACATATAATTCTTATTATTCAAAAAGTGAACTCCTATTCGCTTGGAGGAAGCCTCACAGGCCATTCACTTGGTCTAAACAAGCTTCCAAAGAACATGGCATCCATGAAAGAGAAAAATAAAAGAATATGAAAGGACAGTTGAAGTACTGAGGAAGAAATCACTAAGAAATTGTTTTAAAAATAATAATATGAAGTGCTATGAAAAATAGCAAATCAAGTTTCAAAACATATAATAGAGAACTGAAATGCATAAACATGTCACAATATATACTTATATACTGTATATGAGGCCCCTAGGACCACAAGAAATGCAAAAAATTCACTGTTAATCACTCATTCTCGAATTGCCCCCCTTACAAAACAAATTGCCCCCTGTGGGGTGTGTGCCCCACATTGGGAACCACTGCCCTAGAACTGCTCGGCCCACTCACTCACTCATCAAGGCCACTTACTGAACGCAGATCCTCGGGGGGCCAGCCTTGGGGCTGAGCACAGAGACCAGGGCATCCCTGCCCTTACCAGTGCTTGACACAAACTAGCAGGAGAGTCAGCATTAATCAAATATGTATAGACACTCTTAATTGCCCGCATTTGCCCTAAGTGCTATTAAGAAGAAATATAGGGATACAAGAGATTGTATAACAAGGGTGGTGGGGAAGCTCATTTAGCTCAGGAATTGGGACGAACTTTTCTTTAAAAGTGAGTCCTGGGATCCTGATAGAGTCCACTTGAAGACTAGACAGATGGAGATAGAAATAGAAAATATTTTATTATTTGTTATAGTGTATGCTTTATTTACATAATATGACTTATATTTTATATTATTTGTATTGTAAAGTCATCATTAGGAAAAATTTATTGCACACACACCGAAAAGACTGTTCGCAAATCAAGAGCACCCAAACCAACACATGGAATGAAGCTCAGGGGTATCCTATATAATAAAAGCCTAATATGCAAATCAACCGAATAGCGGACCAACCTGTGGAACAACCAGTCACTATGATGTGCACTGACCACCAGGGGACAGACACTCAATGCAGGAGCTGCCCCCAGCCCACAGGCCCCAGGCCAGCCAATGCAGGTGCCAGCAGGGGCCCCCTGATTGCCCTGCCGGTAGCTCCCCAGATCTGCCCTGATCTCTGGCCAGGCCTAGGCACCCTACCTGTGCACAAATTTTGTGCACTGGGCCTCTAGTATTATCATAAAGCAGCTTATAGAGTGAGGAAGCAGTGACAGTTAATTCTTCGTGATGATGGGTTATAAAGTTGGAATTTTCGGCAATTACCTTACAGTAACCTTAGGAAATAGTTCCAATCTCAGAGGCAGAAGCAAAAAATGTCCCCAGTCACGTTAGTCTTGCAAAATGAGCTAAATTAAACTTTGTTTGTTTAATGAAACTGGTTTTGCCTGCTCAGGGAATTTTCAAGGCTGATCTCTGTTTGGTTTTTATTTTAACATTACATAATATGTTATTTTTTTTTCCCCACGAGCACTTCACCTTACAGTTTACAAAACGTGTCCCCTCTGCATGTCCTCGGCTCCTCACACAGCCTTTTGGAGGTGGGAAGCCACAGAGACTGCTAACTTGCTGCGTGGAAAGAGCTTGGGCTTTGGGAACAGACCACCACTAAGTCCCGATCTCAATCCACGACTACCTCGCTGTGTGACCCTGTGCCTGCCGCTCTCCCTCTCTGGTTTCCAACCTGCCCTGCAAAATTGTCCAATGGGCCAGACCAGTGGCCCACACTCAGCCAGGGTACTATGAAGTCCTGCAGCAAGAGTCTCATCAGGCAGCTACGAACTGAAAATAGGAAATGCAGACAACACAGACGGCTTTGGTTGTCTTTAATAACACTAGTTATTTAAGGGCAGTAACTGTCTTTTTTAGTCTGAGATGTCTTCCCTCTTTTACATTAAAACATCCTTATTATATGAAGTGATAGTGGAGGAGAACAAACTTGGGGGGCGGGGGGTTAGGTTCTTAAGCGGCAAGTTGGAAACCCCTTGATTTGAAGGGCTCATTGCATCCTAAAGATGGGACCACTGGTCTAGCCTTCCCTCTGGCTTCCGGAGCTTCCGTGTGGGAGAGAACGTTCTGAGTCCACACGGTGACCCCAGCTTCTCCCTCCGCAGGGTCCAGCCGCCGCTACCAGGTAAACGCTGTGCATACCAGCAAGGCCTGCAACATCATCAGCAAGTACACCGCCTACGTGCCTGTGGACGTGAGCGAGAGGCTGTACCTGCCCACCGTGGTAGCCTACCCCAGCTCCGGTAAGGCACGGGGGTGGCCAGGCAGCCCCCGGGGGCTGGAGGAGGTGGCTGAGACCTTAAGGGGCAGAGCTGCAGGGTAGGGTGCACAGAAGGGTCTAAAACAGTGATGGCGAACCTATGACACGCGTGTCAGAGGTGACACGTGAACTCATTTATTTTGGTTGATTTTTCTTTGTTAAATGGCATTTAAATATATAAAATAAATATCAAAAATATAAGTCTTTGTTTTACTATGGTTGCAAATATCAAAAAATTTCTGTATGTGACGCGGCGCCAGAGTTAAGTTAGGGTTTTTCAATATGCTGACACGCCGAGCTCAAAAGGTTCGCCATCACTGGTCTAGAAGCATAAAGACCCCAAAAGCAGATGGTGTAACCACCACGGGGCACAGAAGCCTATGAAACCACGCCACTCCCTTATTCCCACCAAATAAGCATGACTTCACTGAAGTTTTCCAATGAGGGCAATGATATGTGCTCACTATAGAAAATTCCAAAATGTAGAAAGACGGAAAATAAATAGAAGTGACAGTCATCCAGAGACGAGTACTGATTACCTCCTTGGTGACCACCCTTCCAGACTTCTCTCTATGGATATCTCCACAGAGAAATCAAAAAACATAATTTTGCATGAATTGGATGATATCGATGTGTGCTGTTCCTTTGGAAATATGGGTGGGAAGGTGAATCTCTACCATCATTTTACCAGCTGCGTTGTTTCCTGATGCGGAAAAATACTAATCGTAATAGTCAATTTGACAGGGATGGAATGGATATATGGATATATGGATATGGGATGGATGGATATATGGAGATATATATATAATCATTTAGTCCTCAGAACAACTCTGCAAGGCAGATACTATTACCCCCATTTTAAAGATGGGGAAACAGAGGCAGAGGGGGTTAAGTAACTTGTCCAGGGTCACACAGCAGGAAGAGGCAGAGACAGGCTTTGAACCCCAGGGATCTGGCTCCAGAGTCTCTGCTCACCCCGCTCCTCGCCAGCTGCTTCTTAAGGTTTCTCAGAACCTACTGGATCAGCCCCTCATTATTAGACCTTCCATTTATTCCCTTCTCTACTATTATAAATGATGCTGCAAAGAACATCTTTGTGCACCTGTCTGGTTATCTGCTCAGGGTTAATGAACTCTCAGAAGTCAGATTGCATATCAAGATTGCCCGCTTAAAACTGTGCTGGATGTTACCAACCTGGCCCAGGCCCAAGCGTTGTTGTTCCGATGCCCGCCCTCGCCAACACTGACTGTTGTTCCTCTTTCTAAACCCTGCCAGGCTGATAATGAGGAAAGACGCTCCCTGGGGAATTTCTTTAGTTTTTAGTTGTTGGGTGAGATGCTGTTCACCTGTTTGTGAACTACTGTTCTTTTCATCTCCTGAATTACTTTTTCCCGTCCTTTGTAATCTCCTTTTTTTAGCAGACCTCCTGAAAGAACTGTGTTTGGAAACGGAATGTACCTTTCCTCCTTCCTCCTGTGCCCTGCACCCCTTTTGTTTATAGTCCTCACTGTTCTCAGGTCGGGCTCTGGCCAGCAGCCAGGCTGTTGCTCCGCTGGCCATGCTTACTCACTGGGCCTTGTCATCCTGAATGGCATGCTTATTCAGGATGTCTGTCCCTCCCACCCATCTCTGACCACCCTCCTGGCCTCCGTAGCCACAGTCTGGGAGGTATGGAGACCATCCCGCCATCTCCAAAGGTCTGCTCAGCACTTCCCAAAGTGTGATCCAGGAAGCTAGACCCTCGTTCCCCATCCCATCAATGGCCATTCGGCACAAAAATAGGAAATCCCAGCCCTGGCCAGTGTGGCTCAGTTGGTTGGACATTATCCGATGCACCGCAAGGTTGCCAGTTTGAGTCCCAGTCCAGGCACATGCCCAGGCTATGGGCTCCATCCCCAGCAGGGTTTTGCTCTCACATTGATGTTTCACTCTCTTTCTCCCTCTGCCTTCCTCTCTCTCTATAAATCAATTTTTTTAAGAAAATTTTGAACAGGAAATATCAGATCAGGAAGAAACTGAACTAAATACCAGTTCAGGAAACACTGAACTAAATAAAGTTCAAAGGCTTTCTTCACAGCAGAGCCTTTGGAACCTTTGGGATGTTAATATACATCAGGAGGCTCAGAGAATGGACCATAATATGCAGCTTCTTCAAAATTTATTGCCAATAGAACTCTTCTTTATTTTTTAAAAGAATGACTTACAGACTAGTGTTCTCATAGAGTGGGTTCCCTAAACCACACTTGGGTGCTGTAGCTTCCATCCATCCCCCATTGGTGATGCCCTGGGACTGCAGGGACCTGCCTGTGGCGGGGGGCATGGGACCTGGGTCTCTGAGACAGCCAATGGGGAATGAGAGGAAATGGGGTATTCTTGAGAAAACCAGCCTTTAGACTAACTAGAAAACACTGCTGCTTTCTGAACATTCTCTCTCGGCAGGAGTATTTACCTAGCAAAGTCGGTATTATCCCCATTTTCCAGATCTGGACATTGAGGTTGAGAGTGGTTAGCACCTCATCCAGCTACTAAAAGATGGGCTGGGGTTCAAACCCAGGTCATTCTGGCTCCAAAGCTCATGGTCTCACCTTGTACAAAGCCTCCCTGTCTTTGGATAATTGAAGCCAGAATCCTTCCTGCCAGCTTGGGAAGGGGGCAAAGGACCGGCACAATTGCACCCACCTGACCCCTTCTCCTGTCCTCACGCAGGTGCTGCACTGCGGATGGCCAGCTCTCGGGCCCTGAGCCAACAGTGGAGGGGCAGCTCTGCTGGCTTCAGTCGGTCCCAGTCCGTGTTCACGGAAGACCCGGCAGCAGGACCTGGCAGATTCCAGAACCTAAGTAAGAACCACCTGGGGCGGGTTCTGGATCCCGAGCTCCTGAGTCATGGCATCCTCGTGCCCAAGACCCTGGAGGCCTCACTCTGAGTCTGCACTTTGGGCCCTTGCAGGACCAGGGGAGGCCAGGCCTCCTGGGCCCTCTGAGGCCTGAGATGGGCAGCGGGGTGCAGCATGGCTCAAGCAAGCTGCCTTCACACAGCGTTGCTGAGAGAGCCTCTCGGAGCCAGGAGCAGCCTGCTCTCCCTGCCCGCGTGCCCACACCATCCCTTCACCTCTCCCCTCTGAAGGTCCGCCAACCCCGGTGGCTATTCCCTGCCTCCAACCTCTGAGTCCTGCCAGGCATCCACTGCCAGAAAACCTGATAAATGGGGGAAAGTGGAGAGCAACGAGGCAGGTCCATCGTTTGGGTCCTACCATCTGCCTCGTTCCTTCCCGCCTTCACCTGATTGGGTTGTGCCTGCAGCTTGGTCCTTGAAGATCCGTGGTTTGGCCTTTTTGTGACTTTACGCTCTTCACAGGAGGCTTCAACTCTCTGTTTCCTGGATGTCTGCATGTCTATCTGTCCCTCTAAAGCAGTGGTTCTCAATCTTCTGGCCCTTGAAATACAGTTCCTCATGTTGTGACCCAACCATACAATTATTTTCGTTGCTACTTCATAACTGTCATGTTGCTACTGTTATGAATCGTCATGTAAATATCTGATATGCAGGATGGTCTTAAGCGATCCCTGTGAAAGGGTCATTCGACTGCCAAAGGGGTCGCAACCCACAGGTTGAGAACCGCTGCTCTAAAGACATCCTAACAGCTGCACCAATCCTAACCCCTTTCTTCACGCCCCCGGGTGTGCAGTGAAGATCTGCTCTGTGCACAGGGAGGACATTGGAGGGCCCACCTGGCCACAAGCCTGGGCGTCATAATTTAACCTGAGGGTTAGAAAGTTCTCACGGGCATTGATGGGTTAAAAAGGGAACAGTGGGTAAGCGGGTGGAGGAGCTCTTTAGAATTAAAGAGTTCTGCCAACTCTTTGGTTCTATCAGAGCCTCCAAAATTGGGAACCTGCTCTTCCCCGGAGCCATGCTGAGCCTCCAGTCTAGAGGAAATGTCTTCCTTTCTCCATAGCGGTGGCCCATGACTTCCATCAAAATCACAAATACCTTCTGTTTCTTTTTTCTTTTTTTAACATTTTCTTTTTTATTGATTTCAGAGAGGAAGGGAGAGGCAGAGAGAGATAGAAACATCAATGATGACTTGAGAGAATCATCAATCGGCTGCCTCCTGCACACCCCGCACTGGGGATCGAGCCCACAACCCAGGCATGTGCCCTGACCTGGAATCGAAGTGTGACCTCCTGGTTCATAGGTCAATGTTCAACCACTGGGCCACGCCGGCTGGGCGAAAATCCCTTCTTTTCAATTGTCCTCTAATTCAGACCCAAGTGTCTATTATATCTAGGCTGTTCTCTATCCCAAGCACTTGCCCTCCCCAAGGATGATAATCGCTAACACGTACTGAGAGTTTCCTGTGTGTTGGGCACTGTCCCAATTATCCATGACTCCTCATAATCATCTGAGTTGGTTTATTTTATTGTCCCCATTAAGAGATGAGAAAACTGAGGCTCAGAGAGGTTAAATGACTTACTCATGATCACAGAGCTGATATAAGGTAGAGCCAAGACTTAAACTCAGGCATTGTCTGGCCCCAGAACCCAGGAGTTTAACCACCAGGTTAATTTGCCTCCTGGTTGCCTCAGTCACTAGTTCACTCCCATGCTGCCCCACTCCACCCAGGCACCTAGTGATAACCAGAGCTCCTTGGCCCTCATGGAGCTCCTGACAATCTCATAGGGGACCAGAGGCTCTGATGAACATATTTGTGCATGAAGCTTTTTCCATAATTTGGTTTGTTCTTTTATAGTATACTAGAGGCCTGGTGCACAAAAATTCGTGCACTGGGGTGGGGGGAGGGCCCCTCAGCCCGGCCTGCCCCCTCTCACAGTCCGGGAGCCCTCAGGGGATGTCCTACCTCTGCAGGAAGCAACCGGGTCGATCAGGGGAAGGCGCTGCCCCCACCACCCCGCTGCTGCTGCCTCTGCCAGCCGCCGCAGCCGCCTGCTCTTGGCCCTCGCAGCCGCCGCGGCTTTGTCCGGAAGGACATCCAGAAGACGTCCGGTCTATCCGGTCTAATTAGTATATTACCCTTTTATTAGTATAGATTTCCCATCACACTCCATCTCTTGAAATAATGATCCTAAGAATAACTACCCTGATTATACATTTTGAACAAACTCTGTATAATTATCACCTTCATTTTACAGATGAGGAAACTGAGGCTCAGAGCCATGTTCTGGTGCCTCCTAGAGTGCTGGCATGAAACCCTCCTCCATGAGACATAGACCTGGTGCTTCATGCCCACTTCTCCTACAACCCCCAACTTCCACCCTCAGCCTCTGACCTGCTCCTGCTTCCCTGATGGGTCTGTAGCTCAGAATTTCATTGAGCACTTACTATGAGCCAAGTATCTCACTGAATCCTTATAATACTGTGGGACTGATACTGTTGTCCCTAATTTTCAATCAAAATTTATGAAGGAAGTCCCTTTGCCAGGGTCACACAGTTAGTCCATGGAGGAGTTGGGATTGGAACCCAGGCATTCTGACTCTTATGGCAGAGCAATGGTGGTACCTTAAAGACAAAGGCCCATCCAACTAGGGATGGAACACTTACTTTGCTCTCCAGCCCAGCCCCAGGTTCTGTGAATTCAGCCATCACTCTCCTGGCAGGGGCGGGAGAGGAGAAAGGGAGAGCCAGGGGGCTCAGGCCTCACTGGCTTCCCTCTGTTGCAGATGTGGAGGAAAACCCTGCTGTGTCCTCCGGCAACGCCACATCCCCGGGCGGGGAGAAGTACGCTGCTTCTGAGGGTATGTGGACCCTCGCCCGGCTCTCCCCTTAATGAAGATAGTGATTGTGGTTGACCCTCGGGCCAAGAGAGTGTCTTAGCCCAACAGAGTCCTCAGTGGCTAAATTTATTCCTCAAAGCAACCCTGTGCAAGATAAATAGGGATATCCCCAACTTAAAGGCTGGGAAACTGAGACTCAGGGAAGTAAAGTGACTTGCCCAAGGTCACACAGCAAGTCCGTGATGAAGCCAGGCCTGGAATCCGGCCTCCCAGTTTCTAGCTGACCATGCCAGCACCGCACTCTGCCTAGATTCCTCCAGCAATGTGCCAGGGAAGGAAAATCAATGTCCCCATCCGGGGACAAGAGGGTTTAATATGAGGCTGTCACTGCCCCAACAGGGAATCTTCCAGAAGATGCCAGGGGCCACCAGCCAAGGACCCTTGGAGGCCTGTTTCTCACACATATATTTCACTCCTCCCCGTACCAACTGGGTCATAAACAGAACGCAGCCTAACATTCCCCTAAGTCCCCTCTGGGCCTCCGCTTCCCCAGCTGGGCAGTGAGCGGTTGGGCAGGGTCCTCTGTCAGGCAACAACTGTCACTGTGTGGCTCTCCAGGTCCCCAGCACGGCCTGGCCACCAACACCCCTTCTTCCTTGAAGACCTCTGAGACCCTGTTTGGAACCAGGTACGTGGGCTTTCCCTTGGGGGACACTCTACCACCACCCGTCTCCCAGGGGCTGTCCCTGGCTTGGAAGGCCAAAGGCAGGCCCAGCCTGACATTCAGACAAAAGTGAACAATCCAAACGGTGCCAAGAAGGCCCCATCCAGAGACATCACTGTCCTCCAGGCATCCCACTGCAGAAAATCCCATCTTGGTGGTTCATCTCCCACAGGGTGGTCTCTCTGCAAACGCGGCCCCCTGGGAGGGCCAGCCTGAGACACGCTGACCACTAGGCTAAAGACCGTCCTAAAAAAGCATAGCCTGGTCCCCGTCCAGGTTGCTACTAACTCACTGAGGGCCTCAGGGAAAATGCACACACCCACCGCCCCGGCCTCAGTTTCCCCAGCTGTCAAATGAGGAGATTGGAGGAAGCCACCTATCCGATCCCTTCTGGCCTGACTTTCAGAGGCTGCTGAGTGAGCACCGGGGGGTGGGATGACCAGGGACCCCCCGGGGTGGCTGTGGCCTCTCTTCCCTGCTCCACCCACACAGGCTGACTATCAAAAAGTCCAGGCTGCTGACGCAGGCAGCCAGGGGCTTCCTGGGCAAGCCGCTGACCAAGACTCCAGAGTCAACGCCGGGGAGCCAGAGCTTTGACTACGTCCCACTGGTGAGTGCCCCAGATGCCGGCTGCTCCACAGAGGGCCTTCCCGGGAGCCCCCGTCCAGGACCACCACCCCCCTCCCCCATCACAAGGGAAGAAAACCTAGGCCTCGCACCCACGTAGTCAGCAGGGCAGAGGGGTCTGCACGAGACCCCCACCCAGGGTCTAGGAATGTTGCTAAAAGCTAGCGGCTGCATCATCTTGGCAATCGGCTGCCTTTTTAAAAATTCACGGGAGTTTCACATTCTACCCCACCATCTACATGTGTCTGATTTTCAATGCTTAACAATCAGCCTTGAAATGAGTAAAATTCACACCCCACGAGCATGCACTGTTTTGGGAAGCGGCTCTGCAGACGCCCCAGCACGCTGTGGCAGGGTGGGAAGCCCAGGTGTGGTGTGGACATCTCTGAATTGAGGAGCCAGGGGGCGTGGCCTGCCACCTCCGGGCCAGGGGCGCGGGGAGCAGAGGTGCCGGCAGGAGGGACATGGTTGGAGTTTCACTGCGCAGCTCCAGTCCCTGCACACCGAGCACACGAGCACACGGAGCCTTTCCAGCCATCCTGGGCAGCAGAGCGCTGTGTGGGGGTTCACTCAACCAGGACCCGTTGAGCCAGGCCCAGTGCTAGGCCCTGGGAGACAACCTTGAACCAGATGAGCAGAGTCCCTGAGCGCATGGCGCTGTGGTGGGGACACAGACAAGGAGCCAGGCAATTCTGCCCCTTGGGCTCTGTGATAGGAGAGCTCGGGTTGGTGGGGCAGAGCTAGGCGGGTGGGGCACCTTCTCCAGGCTGTCGGTCGGTCGGGAAGGAATGACGGATGGCTTACTGAGGAGCATAAAGGTCAAGCTGAGACCTGAAGGCCGAGGAGTGATAGCTGGCAGCCTAGAGAGAGAGAGAGAGAGAGAGAGAGAGAGAGAGAGAGAGAGAGAGAGAGGAGGTTGGAGAGTGGGGCTTGAGGAGGAAAAGTTGAGGACAAACCAGCGATTTGGAAATCATGGTTGGGACTTATCTAAGAGAAAACTGACACCACTGAACTGACGTCAGAGAGTGACGTGATCTGTGCCTTACAGACCCCTTGGGGTGCTGGGAAGATGAGGGGGTGGGGGCGAAGGAAGGAAGTAAAGGCAGGGACAGTGCGGGGAGGCGGATGGTGGACTCCAGAGATGTTTAGAAAGCAGACCTGTTGGCACTAGGAAACTGATTGGCTCGGAGGGTGGGAGAGGGCGGTGAGCTGCCCAGAGCCGTGGCGGGGATGGGCCCACCTGCCCAGAACCAGAGGCAGGTTAGGAGTGAAGACGTTGCGTTGGGCGTGGAGAGGGATCAGCTTGGAGTGCCTGTGGGATAAAGGAGGGAGCTCAGTGGGCCTGGGTGCCCCGCAGATCCCCCAGGAAGATGAATGGTGGGCTGTGTGGACCCAGACTTTTGCATGGCCTGGGGCTCCACCGCCTAAAAAGTTGGAGGCCCACTGAGGGGCTCCCGCACCCACAGGTGTCTCTGCAGCTGGCCTCCGGAGCCTTCCTGATGAACCAGGCCTTCTGCGAGGCCATCCACATCCCTATGGACAAGCTCAAGTGGACCTCGCCCTTCACCTGCCACCGAGTGTCCCTCACAGCCCGCCAGCCCGCGTCTAAGACCAGCCCCTCGTCTCGGCACCCCTCTTGTGACACCTTCTCCGAGGAGCCTCTGGCAGGGAACAAGGCGAGCTGGGAGCCCAGCGCGGTGACAGAACATACAGGGAAGCTGTGGGCCACGGTGGTGGCCCTGGCGTGGCTGGAGCACAGCTCGGCATCTTACTTTGTTGAGTGGGAGCTGGTGGCCGCCAAGGCCAGCGCGTGGCTGGAGCAGCAGGAGGTGCCGGAGGGCCGCACGCGGGGCACGCTCAAGGCCGCCGCCCTACAGCTGTTCGTGCTCCTGCGGCACTGGGACGAGAGCCTGGAGTTCAATATGCTCTGCTATAACCCGAATTATGTGTAGGGGGGTTGAGGCAGGGGAGGCGGGCGGGGACCTGAGGGCCTGGGAGGGGAGCTTTGGAAGCTGTAATATATTGGTTGCTAGAAGAGCCCTGGACTAGCGGTCAGGAGGCCTGAATTCCATCCCAACTTAGCTACCACCTAGCTGTGCAACGGAAGGGCAGACCATGCCCCCTCTGGGCCTCA